TTGGGAGGGAGCCGGTGGCCGGGGCGCGGGGGCGCCCCCGGCGTGATGCGCGCAGCTGCCTTTGGGTCGTGGCCGGCCGTGGGCTTTGTAGTACGAGGCATTGGCCAGGAGGCGGGAAGACTGACTTGGCACGAGCTGTGGGGCCCAAGGGGAGGCTTACTTCTGAGTAGACACGCTTAAGACTGGGGTCCTGGGGGTGCTCAAAGCCCCAAGCCTGCTCTTGGGGAGCGTCCATCTCTGGAGAAAGTTCTTCTTCTTGCCCTTCTCCGAAGCCTCCTTTCCAGCCCCTCATCTCCTGGCCAGAGAAGGAGGTCTGCTTCCTTCCACTGGTTGCTGGCCACAGGATCTGGCCACGGGCTCACCTGTCCTCGGCTCACCTGCCAACACCCGGGGATTTCACTCTTGTGGCTGGCCTGGCAGAGCACACCAAACCCCAGGTCTTGTGTGCTCGGGCAGAGCTGGGCATGTGACCTGAGGCCGGCTGCTCCGGTTTGGAGAGCCTGTTCTGTGCTTTCCCAGCGAGCACATCAGCGGGGAGGGGGGGGGGGGGGGCTCCGATTGTCCTGGCCCTCTGCAGTTCAGGGTAGAGAGACCCTGGGATCCTGCAATAATTTCCAAGCAGTTTTTGTTTTTCAGGCTGTTACATTTAAGGTGTATTCTTCCCCCTTCTCAATTTAGGGCTAAGGTGCTGGAATGTTTTCAGTAGAAACCTCCCCCCACCCCACCCGCCAGGACTAAGCAGCACCAATAACAAACAACATGGAAGCCAATTAATTGGGATTAGCATAAGGACAGGCTTGTGAAAAGCAACTGAGGAGGAAGCCCCACTAAAGCCAACCTTTGTATGGATTTGGACACCTTTTGCCACCCTCAGATGCAGCTGGCAGTACCTGCCTCGAAAAGCAGGAATCCACGCTGGTGGCTCCCATCTGGGGGAGGGCAGGGGCAGTAAGGCCCTCTTGCAGAGGCAGGCAGAGAACCGTCCTTAGAACAAGATAGGCAAAAGGGCTGGATTCCAGTTTCCAAGTGAGTATTCCTTACTAAAGACTCCGACCGTGTGAAGTTTTGCAAACTAAGTATAGGATTATCTATTGCAGAAAGTGAAATTCTTAAGGAGCCTTTACCAAAAGTCTTAAGGAGGCTGTACTTGCTGAGGAAAGGACCCTAATTCTGACTCTGACAATCTCAGGAAAAAGAACAAACGAATGAACAAGGCAAGTAAAGTCTTATGATGCAGTGTTTGTGTTTCAGAAAATGTTGGATGAGACGGAATTTCCCTGATCTCCTAAGCATATGTCTGAATGACTGCTTTGAATAGATAATTATGCAGGAAGCATCTAGTGGGGTGGGAATTTTTCACACAGAAGAAAGAGGGACAGCCTGCCCTGAAAACAGCACAATTTCTCTGCCTTCTCTCCCTCACTGGCTGTTGTCTATGTAAAAAGAAAATGTTCTGTCAGTTAAGAAGGAAGCAGTCTTGAGAACATGAGGAAGCAGATCGGTCAGATGCTTCAATCTGCAACACTAACATTTATGAATGATGTTATCTAACCTGGTAACGAAACAGCTGCAGGAACAACCAAGCTCGGATAATGCCAAGAACCCAACAGCTCGACCCTGAGCCACCTCCATTCTCCCTACGATTGGAGAGTGACACAAATTTCTTCTGGGCTCGAGGCAGCTGTTGCGTTCATCGGCATGTCGGAAGATGTAGATGGAGGTGGCTTGTGTTTTGTGGGAATTGTCGCAGGGAGGGCTTGACGAACAGGCTGTCCTTCAGCAAAACGCCTCTTCTTGGTGGGTGCAGCTCAAATGCAAAAGGTGCTTTGGAGCACCCAGGGTACCAAGTTCTTACACCAGGCCCATCTTCTCTGGATCCCGCTGCAGCTGCTGGGGCAGCCACACAATCCTGGGGACAGAGGCGGTTGCAGATGGATACGCCATGAGCCCCCCAAGGCTGCAGAAGCCCCTTTGGATCCTAAGAGAGGCACAGCCCTCCTGATGTTCTTCACGCATCTTCAGGGCACCTCAGTGCCTTCACCATTAGGAGAGACCCAGCCTGTGCCTTTCTGAAATGTTTCAGTGGACCAACCCAAAGGAGACGGCAGGCCAGGGAATAAGGTGGTGAGGCTACTGTTAGGTTTTCCCAGCGTGTGTGGATGGTGGGAGAAAAACATTCTGGCTTGGTGATACGTCCTAACAGGTTGACCACTCCTCTGTGCTTCAGCTAACTGGAGCAAAGTAATGTTTTAGTGAATAAAAGGGCAGGTCCTTTGCTTTTAAGGGTTTTCATTTTCTTAATGCTGAATGTCATGCACGTTCAAAAATGCGCTCCCCTTCCTTCCCACTACAGTCCAGATATTCCAATACGGTAGGTAGCTGCGGTGTTTGGAAGGAAGTGTTGCCCACGGGCTGGGGAGGTGTAGGAGAACAGCTTTACAAAACTCTGTGTCACCTCTCTGAAGAGAAGGACTCAGGCAAAGCACGTCTATGGAGACATTATGACCCAGAGAAGATTCTGGAAGTAACTGGCTTGGATTGTGGCAGGTTGAAAGCTAGAGGGTTGAGATTTTTGCTGCTGAGATTAATGCTTTCTCTAAGGACAGGAGCAGTAGGACAATTTCTCTCTGTCTTTCAGCAAGATTAACATGATTTAAAGTTAATTTAAACAGTAATCCAAAGTCCTTCTCCAGGCATATATTTTGTTCACCAAAAGGGACAGTAAGGACTATGTATCCGTAAGGAGGGAGGGCTCAAAACCTTTAACCCGTTTCAAGAATTTGCATTAGCTACTAGCTTTACGAAAGTCCACATGGAACGTGTATTAATTTCTAATCACCTGTCTCATGAAAAATAGGACGTGCCTGGGAGTGCAGAAGGGAGGTGTCCCTGGGGAACAAGACTTGGCAAAAACTGTGGGTGCAGAAGTCCAATCCCTGAATCGAAATGAATCGCAAAAATATCCAAGAGTTGTGTTTCCTAGTTTCTATCGCACAGCATTTCACAAAGATAGATGATAGCTAGATGATAGATATAGATAAATGATAGGCAGATAGATATGATAGAGATAGATAGGTGATAGATAATGATAGATAGATATTATATAT